ATCGATGTGCCAAACTCTCTGTCCCTCTCCCTTCCTCTCTGTAAAAAATCAATAAAAATATATTTTTTTAAAAAAATGAATGTTTCATTTTTAAGTGCTTCATGTATTTTGAAATAACTGATAGAACTAAAGAAGTGCAAAATTTCATAACATAATGAAACAGGCATAGACCACTCCTGCGTTGTATACATTAACATTTTTATTCATGATGACAATAATTGTAACTGTTTAAAAGTTATAAAGTCAATGGCAAGGCAACTGAAATTATGGCTGAAGAGCTCAGGGCACATGCCTGGAATGTGGGCTCAACTCCTAGTAGGGGGCTATGTGGGGAGCAGCCGATCAATGCTTCTCTCTCATTACTGATGTTTCTATCTCTCTCTTCCTCTCCGAATATATATATATATATATAAAATGTATTTAGAAATTATAGCTGAAGGTATCCTGTCCCTAATTGCATCTGTGGTTTAGACTTGTGATAGAATGCTTTTTCACTCAAGGATTCTTTTCTTCATTAAGTTATTGGAAGTTTTGCTAAAGTCCACCAATTGAATGTGTTCATGAGTTATTTCTGCATGAATTTCTGGCAAATGATAAGGGAACATGAGTTACTGCAAACCATGCCATATCCCTACCAGAGAAAATTAGTTGTCTAGTGTAAAATGACATCTATTGAGGTTTTACTTTGGGGAAGATGCTTTTCCATACTTAGAAATATTTAATCATGATTTCTGATGATCACATATCGTAAGTTCTACTTCCCACTAAAGAATTTCCTATTCTGTCACATTCATAGGCCTTATATCAAGATAAACATTTTAGACATATAATGTCCGAAAATATTTTCATGAAGGCTGATTGTATCCAAATTGTTTTGTAATTTCATTATATAAAATCAGGAAAATGACCTAAGACAGATAGTACCAGATTCTTTGCAGTAAGTTATTCATTTTCCCCCTAACTTTCCTGTTGTATTAAGTTATTTTTTACTGCATAATATTTTTGTATACTATTATCTTGAGGGCCTACAACTGGCAACAGGCTTACCCAAAAGCAACTACCTGTGAAATCTTACGTTTAACAATTGACAAGTGGTCAGAACCTTTTCCACAATTGCTGCACTCTTAGAGCCTCCTTCCTGTATGT